TGCTGCTGATGATGATGATGATGATGATGATGATGATGATGAATCTGATGATGTGGATAAGGCATAGCAGAGGATGCGTAGGATGATGTGGACGGGGACGGTGAGGGGGGATGGGCGGTGCGACGTGAGGATCAGCATCGAGACGGACGAAGATGGGGAGGGCGATGCTCAGGTGGATGAGGGGGATGAGGGCCACGAAGGGAATGATGATGACAATGAGGACGGTTATCAGGATAAGAACAGTGTTGCAGCGGGGGGAACAAGGACAAGGCCAATGTTGCAGCGGGGGGAAGAACATGGGAACACTGAGGAAGGTGGTCAGGATAAGGGAAATACTGCAGAGGCTTCCTCCCCTTATCTCTCGCACTCGTCCTGATCGTGCCGGTCGCCCTCCTCATCTTCAGACCTTTCTCTTTGTCTTCTTCCTCTATCCAAAGAAGAGTTAGGGGCGGAGGGATGGTGTGAGGAGAGGAGAGCCCCCCGCGAAGTTGAGGTTGGTTTTACTTCTCCTGCCAGCCGCTGTAAACTGAGCACGCTGGTGAGGAGAAGTGCGATAGTGATGATGGGGATGATGGGTTCTGGTATAACGCCGGTATAATGACGACGATGGTGATGATGAGGATGATGAGGACGAGAAAGATAATGATTGAGGGTGGGAGGAGGAAGTGGAGAGGATGTATGAGAGAGCACAAAGGATCAGAAGGAGAAGGAGGATGACGATGAGGACGGAGGATACTTAGAGGGGGCGACGCGAGTACTATCAGATATAGGATGAGGATGATGACGATGACCATGATGATGAGGATAAGGTGTGGAAGAGGATGAGAGGGAATCTGGGGACGAGGACGGAGAGGAGGAAAGGGATGGGGGCGACGCAAGGATCAGCAGGATCACGGACGAGGACAAGGAGGACGATGATCAGGAGGAGCAGGTGGATGAGGGCCACGAGAGATACCAGGATGATAAGGAGGGCGAAGGAGCCGGGCCATGCTGCAGCAGAGGAAGAACATGATGATTGCGAGGAATGTTGTCATATTAAGAGCATTACCGCGTTAGCCTCCTTCCCGTATCTCTCATCCGAATCTTCGCCCTGCTCTCTCCGTCCGCTCCCTCTACTCATAGGAAGGGTAGGGTGGACGAGGGCGAGTCCGAAGATCATGAACAAGAGGCGGTGGAATTCGAGCTTGAGGAACCACACGGAAATACACGGCAGGAGGTGCAAGCCAACGGAAAGCGGGATGCAGATGGTGAGGAGGCCAGAGGAGGAAGAAAGGAATGGGGGCCGAGATCGAACACAAGGCGAATGATATGATACGGGGGGAGGGCGACTAAGTACTCCAGATGTCGTAATAAAAGGGAGGGGGTCTGGACCCTCCAAGACAAGCCATTTCAGACCTCCCCCGTGGGAGAACCCTCCAAAACATCGTCCCCAGACCCCCCAGGCCCTCCAAGATAGCCTGGAAGAGACCCCCCCCGAAATAAGACCCCCCTCACTTTATTACGAAATCTGGAGCATCCGCCTCGCGCGAAGACGCGTTCTGGCACGTCTTGGGTATACTGCTGCTGCGAGCAAGCGGCCACGAGCGGCGAATAGGGGCTGATCCGCGGACGGTCGTCGCGGTGCGCGTGCCGCTTCTTGTTGCCAGGCGTTTGCCGTTACTGGCCACCGTGTGCTGTGAGTCTGCCGACACCTCGCCGAAAGTGGGTTTCCATAACACCGACTGGGTAGTCGAAGGCCAGGCTGTCAGATTGGATTGGGCCCCAAGGGCCAATCTGGCCCGGCCAAACTGGACGATTTGGGTTCTTCGCCAGACTGGATTCGCGTTGGCTCCCTCGCCAGATGGCCCCCGTTTGCCAGATTGGGCCTGCCAGATTGGCGCCAGATTGGCTTCGACTACTCCAGATTTCGTAATAAAAGGGAGGGGGTCTCATTTCGGGGGGGGCCTCTTCCAGGCGAGCTTGGAGGGCCTGGGGGGGTCTGGGGACGGTGTTTGGGAGGGTTCTCCCACGGGGGGGGGGGGTCTGAAATGGCTTGTTTTGGAGGGTCCAGACCCCCTCCCCTTTATTACGAAATCTGGAGTACCATATTGGCGCCAGATTGGCGCCAGATTGGCTTCGACTACCCAGATTTCCATAACACCGAGTGCAAAGACAATCGAACATTGGCAGCGAGAATGCACGATTCGGATGCACGGGCCTGGGCGAGTCGTGTCGTGCGGACCCCTCTCGGGCAGGGAGGGCGCGGCCAACGACCGCGGCCGAGGCTGGGCCGGACAGGCCAGGCTGCCATGGGCACTCTCTTGGAGGGAGCCGTTCCTCCGCACTGTCGGTGCTGACTGCACGGCAGCCCTCCCCGCCCCAGGCACCCACGTCCGCCCGGCGACCAGCGACGACGACGACGACCAGCGACGACGACCACGACGACGAAGACCACGACGACGACCACGACGACGACGATGACGACGACGATTACCAGCGACGACCACGACCACGACCACGACGACGACGACTGCCAGCGACGACGACGACGACGACGACGACGACGACGACGACGACGACGACGACGACGACGACGACGACGACGACGACGACGACGACGGCGACGACGACGACGGCGACGACGACGACGACGACGGCGACGGCGACGACGACGACGCGACCGCACCGGCGAGGATGAACATGGGCAAGTCAAGCTGGAGGACAGCATGCGGCAGAGCCGGGCGCTGCTGGTCGCGGGCACGCTGTCCTCCTCCATGGGCCTGCCATCCTCGCCCCTTCCTTCCTCCTCTTCTCTCCTCCCTCCATCCCTCCCTCCCTCTTCCTCCCTCCTCCTCATCCTCATCCCTCCTCATCTCTCCTTCCCCTCCTCCTCCTCCCTCCTCCTCCTTCCTCCTCCTCCTCCTTCCCCTCCCCTCCTCCTCCTCCCTCCTCCTTCCTCCTCTCCTCATTCCTCCCTTCCTTCTCATCCCTTCTTCCTCCTCCTCCTCCCTTCTTCCTCCTCCTCCTCCTTCTTCCTCCTCCTCCTCCTCCCTCCTCTCTCCTCCTCCGTCCACCTCCCCTCTCCTCTTCCGTCCTCCTCATGTGCGCCGCCCCCGCCGACCAAGCAGAAACATGCAGAGCCCACATCGAAGACGCCCACGGCTAATCCCCGCCGCCCGCTGCCTTTTTCGGAAGCGCCCGTGTGGCCGCAAAATGCTGCCAGAGTTCGGCCGAACTGCCTGACAACGTGCTCCCCCAAGCCGTCGCGGAAGCCCTTCGGGCAGCACGCGGGGGAGAGAAGACGAGGAGGAGAGACAGGAAAAGGAGGAGGACAACGAAGAGGAGGAAGAGGGAAGGAGGATAATGAGGACAAGGAGGAAAAAAGAGCAGGCAAGTCGTGCCAATGTGCTGCTATGTGCTCGATCCTGTTGCCAGCCCCGCCTCCTGCTAGTGGCGTTGTACGGTAGTTCATGCCAAGTTGCATGGGGAGCGTTGGAAAACGACTCCACCTCCTCCTCCTCCTCCTCCTCCTCCTCCTCGTGTTTCTTCACTCCCTGTCATGAACCCGCGTCCCCCGCAGTGGAAGCCTCTGTCTCATGCACACCTGCACTTGCATGTTGCAGATGTACTGCGCTTGCATGGAGTTCCACTGCTTTGCGTTGCATTGCATGGCATTGCATTGCAACGCATGCGATTGCATATTTTTGCTGCATCACTTCCCATTGCGTTGCGCTACATTGTGTTGAGAGATCCTCGCCACATTCTCCCAACTCTGTGCTCAGACACGCCGCGCGCGAGGTAATCTGGTCAATTGTACTTCAGACGTTCTCGCCTGAATCATCCTCCCAACTCTGCGAGATGCCGCGCGCGAGCTGGTCAGGCTAATTTTGCCTGAGACATCTTCTCAACTCTGGGTTCATAGATGCCGCGAGCGAAGAGGTGCGGCCCGGCTAGCCTGGGGATTCTTTCCAACTCCGGGCCCAGATATGTCTCGGCCCGATGTGGTCTGGCCCATTTCGCTTGCGACGTCTTCGCGAGTCTCGTTTCTTTTTATACATCTCGCGAGGTGGTCTGGCCAATGATCGCCAAAACATCATCGCAGCTCTTGGATCGGATACGCTCTGACCTGAGCTGGTCCAGCCCGGCTCGCCTGGGACATCCTCGCAACGTTGGGCTCAGATGTGCCCTGACCAGAAACGTTCCAGCCCAAATCGCCCGGGACATACTCGCCCGCGACAGGTGCGAGGTGGTCCAGCCAAACTCGCTTGCGACATCCTCGCAACGCCCGGTTCCGACATGCCGCGTGCAAAGTGATCATTTGGCGAATTTTGCCTGCGACATCTTCGCAAATTTGGGCTCCGTGCTGTCGCGCGCGGCCTCAGAGATACCTCGGCCTGACGTGGCTTAGCCCCGCTGTACCTGAGACATCCTCGCACCTCCGGGCTCAAGAATGCCGCGCGCCGGGTGGGGTGGCCCGTTTCACCAGAGAATTGTCTGCAGCTCTAATCCCACAACTGTTGTGGCCCGGTGTGATATGGCCCACATCGCCCGAGACATCCTCGCAACTGTGGGCTCGAAGCTGCGACGCGCGAGGTTGTCCGGCCCGGTTTGCCTGAGCCACTGTCACATCTCAGTGCTCCGACATGCTCCTGAATTTAGCGGGTCTGGCCAGTTATGTTTGAGACGTCTTCGCAACTCTGGGCTCAGACATGCAGCGCCCAAGATCGATGGGCCAAATTCGTCCGATGCATCCCCGCAATTTCAGGGATATTGCGCTCGAGGCACTCCGGCCGGACTCGCCCGATCCATCTTCGCAAGTCTGGGGTCCAACGTGCAGCGCGAGAGATGGCTTGGCCCATTCCGCGTGAGATATCCTCGCCACGCTGGGCGCAGAGATGCGCTTCGCAAGGTGGTCTGGCCACCTTCGCCTGAGACGCCATGCCAGTTCTGGACTCAGACTCAGACATGCCGCAGGCATCGGGGAGGAGGCCTCCTCCCCGAGGCCTGCGGCCCCCGGCCAGGCGAAGATTCCACCATCAGGCACTTCGACCCCGCCTGGACGGACGTCAGAGGGACGCCGCGCGCCCGCCACGGCCGTGCCTCCGACGCCCCCGCCCAGCTGCCTCGACCTCTTGGGCGGGCCGATGACGAGAACCGGGATCTTTGGCCGAAGGACACGAGCTTCAGAGGTGGGAAAAGTATCGATACCGCTACCCTTCTCTCGTCTCCGCCTCCCTGGGCCTCCTGGGAGGTCGTCGTCGGCACGGCTGGTTTCGCCTTGAATTCCTGGTGCGAACGCACCCCCGGAGACGTCCAGGGAGCAGCGGTATCGGCATTCCGTGGCCTCCCCCGTCCGTATGATAAACTCAGACCTTCGGACGTCTGCGCAGACGTCTTGGATCGGCGCTGGAGGAGGAGGAGGAGGAGGAGGAGGAGGAGGAGGAGGAGGAGGAGGAGGAGGAGGAGGAGGAGGAGGAGGCGCCACGCCTTACTTTCTCCGCGCGCCAGGAGGGGGGGGGGTCAGGGGCCGCTTCCAGGAATCCGCGCGGGCCTCCGACTTCTGATGTAAGTCGGGCCTCCTCCTCCTCCTCTCTCCTCCCTCCGCCTCCTCCCTCCTCCCTCCTCCTCCTCCGGCCTCTCCTACTCCTACTCCTCCTCCGCCTCCTCCTCCTCATCCTCCTCCCCCTCCTCCTCCTCCTCCTCCTCCTCCTCCTTCCCTCTACAGGAGGGGTCTTCAAACGTAGAAAAAAACACAGTCTGGGGACGTTTCTTTGGTCTGTTTGACTGTGTTTGAGCTTTTTGTCAACACCCACCTAACCACCCCAACCCAACCTGAAGGCTCAGATTTACCCTCGATTTCCAGTGGGGGGGGGTCGGGAAACAGCGAAAAAACACGTGTGGAACCCTTACCCCCCCCCCAACCCGAAATTCGGGTCTTCGAGTTGGGTTGGGGTGGTCTGGTAGGTAGTCATTTTGGGGGCAGGTTATATCCTTGGTCCCAAATCCGCCTGTCTCGGGGACAGGCCCGACCTAAACTTATGAAGGGTGTCTGTGCAGATGTCTTTCAGGAGGGGAAAGAACACACAGACACAATTAATCGTCGACTCCGAGGAAAATGTGGGAAAATATGGGAAGTGCGGGGGAAGACGAAAACCCACAAAATATTGGAAAATCTAGGAGAATCGTTTTATTTGTGTGTATTTATTTGTGTGTCCCAGGGCCCCTTCAGTCTTGTCTTTTCTCCATCGCGCGTGGCCTAGGTCCCGGTCGGGCATGTCCCCCTACAGGGTCGGGCCGGAAGAAAGGGGGGGAAGAAAGATCCTCGTGGGCCTCTGGAAGCCGTTGCGATCCTCGGATGAAAGGGCCGATGATGTCATTCTGAACTTCGGGAGCGCTGGGATGATGGTGAAGACTCTTGGGCCGGACGAAGGGGGGATTGGGAAAGGGGGGGGGGTCGAAATTTACTGCATGCAGCGGGCTTCGGCCTCACCGAGGGGCCCATTCCTCGATACATGGCCGCCCCCGGCGCCGGGAGGCGCCGGGAGAATCAGCTACGTGAGCTGGTTCTCAAACCCCCCCTTTGCTATCCCCCCCTTTCGCCCGACCCGACAGAGGGATTTTGGACGAGATATAGAAAGTAGCCCAAAAATATTCAAACATAGTCAGACGATAGTCGAGAAACATCGCCCCCGGACTATATTTCTTTACCATTTTTGAACATTCCTCCCCGACTCACTGCGAGGTCGACCCCTTGCCCAGGATGCAACTCCCAGGGGGTTAAAAGTCGCAGTCGGTGCTCGAAAATATCCCTTGTCGGAAACTTGTTCCATCTGGCTTCGTTCGGCTCCATCAGGTCTCATCCCGCCTCGTCCGACCAGATCCCGGGCCGAACCTAGTTCAATCCCGCGCTCAGTCTGGCCAGATCCAGGTCTCGGGGGCGGAAAAGAGGGGGGTCATGACTAGGGGGGGGGGGATATCATGGCGGGGGCCATGATATTTCCTCAGATTTCAGGGCGCCTCTTCTTCTTTCATTACGTCCCTGCCCCCCCCGCTGGGCCGCGCACATGCCGCCGGCCATGATTTGCACCCCCCCCTCTTGGACACCCCCCTCTTGGCCGCTCCCGAAGTCTGGCCAGATCCAGGTCAGCGGCCCTTCCAGTGTCGGGACGATCGAGATGGGTACGGAAAGAATGGGTATAACAACCCATAGCGCTGCTTGTTCCTTTTGAACAGGACTCGCCGTCGACGCGGACGTTGCCCGCTGGAGACAGAAGGCAGCCTGGCCAACCGCCGTTGTCGCTTTTTGGACAGCACTTGCTGCTGAGCACCGTTCCCGTCTCCTCCGTACCTATCTCGGGCGTCCGAACATTTGGCTCGCTCGCCTTTCATCGTTCGGTTTTGGTTGTTGAGCATCTTTCTCATCTCTTCCGTACTTGCCCCGGGCGTCCAGACATTTTGTTTGTTCGCCTTTCATCGTTCTGACGAATTCTTTGTCACAACGATGGAGGGTGAAGTCTTCGTCTGAAAGATTCGGATGCAGCTCCTTGGAGGTCAAATTCTGACTTTGCCCTGGTCCGAAATCCGGCTTAATCCCGCTTAATCTGTTTTTATCCCGTCTGATCCCGCTTAATCCGGCTTCATCCCGCTTGATACGAGGCCCAATTCAGCGTAAGAGCCACCCAATGGGGCTCAATCCCTCCTTAGTCCTTCCGAGGAAGACCTCCCAGCAGTTGCCTCCTGAGGTTGGGAGGCACCTCCTGGGAGGTTCTCAAGACCTCCCAGGAGATGTGCCTCCCAGCCTTGCCGCGGGGGGGGGGGGGGGAAGCGGGGCCTGGACCGCCAGGCGCCGCGAGCCGGCTGCGACGGCTCTTGCCCAGGAGATCCCAAACATGCATCGATCAGGAGGGGAAAAAACACACAGACACAAGTAATCGTCGATCCCCAGGAAAATATGGGAAAATATGGGAAGTGGTGGGGAAGATGAAAACCCAGAAAATATAGGAAAATATGGGGAATCTCTTTATTTGTGTGTATTCATTTGTGTGTCCCAGTTTCCCTTCAATCGATGGGGGCGTGGATGAGCGACGGGCCCCCGCCTCCATGGGAGCCCGCAGACTCCCGCCGCCGAGCGGGGCGGCACCAGCCGCACTCTGGGGAGGTGCCCCAGATCCGTGGGTCGCCCATCCGTGCCTGCGCGCCCCCGAGGTGCAAACAAGGGTGGTCGGGAGGGAACAAAAACAAAGACACAAAAATAATCGTCGATCCACGAGAAAACATGAGGAGATATGGGAAGCTGGGGGGGAGACAGAGTCCCAGAAACTATTGGAAAATATGGGGAATCTTTTTATTTGTGTGTATTTATTTGTGTGTCCTTGGGCCCCTTGAGGTGGGCGGTCCCCCGGAAGAGCCCTCCTGCGGGCCCGAGCAGCACCTGGCGGCCTGGTCGGAGCACCTGCCCTTCATGGAGGAAGAGGTACCCGTACCGCTACCTTGGCATCGCTCGGACGTGTGTATTTTTTCTCGGCGACGGCCATCGAGGACCATCCTTGATCATTTGGCGAAAAAAGCACGCACGAAATCAAAAAATACACGAGGAATGGACGTCCGAGCGATGGCGAGCTACCCTCCCCTCGTTTCCCCCTTGTTCAGCCTCCGCGGAGGCCCTCGTCGCCACCGCCGGATTCGCCTCGGAATTCTGGTCAGGACGAGCCTCGGGAGAGGTCCGTTCGGGGAGCAGCAGCATCGGTGCCTTTTTGCTTCCCAAATCCTGGGTGTGTGCGTGTGTGTGTGTGTGTGTCGACTAGACGCAGGAGTGACCTTTCGCTGGAGTGACCTTGGGTGCGGGCCCAAAAGTCCCCCTTTGGCCCCAAAAAAGCCGCGCACCAAAGGTCACTCTTACCCGGAGTCACTCTTGCGTGTAGCCGAGTGGGGTGGAGATTTTTGGGAGCCCACTTCGTGCACCAAACATGACCTCAGATGTCTCGGGGGGAGCGGTGGAGGAGGAGGCGGGGGTCCAGGAGGTTCTGGGATTGTTTGTTGGGGGGGGGCGGCCAGTTTCTAAGTGTTTTAGCGGGCTGTGAGAGGGCCACTTTCCCGACCCCCATCCGTGATGAGAGTGGATGAGGGGGAGTTGCGTTGCTATCATGTCAATTACGGGATACTTGCATACGTTTGAGCAGTTGTTTGATTGGGCAGGAAAACCGTTTGCCAATACGAGCTTTGCTCTGCGAGTTCAGCTTTGCTGTACTCTTTGGGCTGAACTCCATCGGAGGTACGAACCAAGCAAGCCTGCGGTTGCCATCCATTGATAACGTGCATACATTCGCGGGAAAACCTCGCGATGCGCATCGCCCCCCCCCCCCCCCCCCCCCCAGGAACACAGCCAGCTGACGCATTGCTTGGCTCTCCGTGCTATCTGTCCTAACTGCCCCAATCTCCCATAGCCACAACGCACACGACGTACCCACAGATCCATCTCCAGCTGCGTCGCATGTTGTTCTTCATCTGGTCCAAATGTGTATAGCGGCAGCCTGTGTGCGCTTCCCTGCGGGTGTATAATTCCTTCCACGGTGATTGAGTGTATAATCATTGTACTCCAGATTTCGTAATAAAGGGAGGGGGGTCTCATTTCGGGGGGGGTCTCTTCCAGGCTATCTTGGAGGGCCTGGGGGGGTCTGGAACGATGTTTTGGAGGGTTCTCCCACGGGGGGGGGGGTCTGAAATGGCTTGTCTTGGAGAGTCCAGACCCCCTCCCTTTTATTACGAAATCTGGAGTAGTCAGCGCTTGATGTTTGAACTAGTCTGAAAGCCCCTGAAAAGATGAAACTCAATTCCGATGCCTGTCCTTCTTACAGGCTTAGACAAACTTGAATTCTAGCGGAGCGCGGAGCGGTCCACAGATTTTTGGGTCCCTCAGTACTAAACACTTATTGTATGCTTAACTTCACTGCTCTGCAAACCGACATGCAACTATGCGTTTCTAATCTCAAGCTGCATGGCTTAGCTGATAGCGCACGCCCTAAACCCTCAACTCATGTGAGACATATCTGGTACTAGAGCACAGAAGGATGAGGAGG